TTAAAATTCGCACATAAAACAAATTCAGCTAAGCTGGATATATTCAAAAATAATATTTGGTATATTTACTTACTGCCTAGTTTTATTGAAATTTCTATAAATAACAACAATTGAGCTTTGCTGAATAAGGAAAACTCCCATCTGAAATATATTACAATAAATTAAGAGGTTTAAGAGCAAAGCTGAATATAATTTTTACACACTAAAATTGTTTCTAGAGGCCAAAAAATGAGCTGAATCTAAGAAATTTGAAAAATATCAAAAATGTATACACATTTCTTTTCAATTCAGCTAAGCTGAACTATTAAATCACATCACATAACCTATTGTAATGTCCTCCACAAACAATTTTAGGGCAATTATGTTATATTCAGCTTTGCTGAATTAGAAATACGTGCTCAAAAATTAGTAAAATGGATTAAAAAGTCTATATTTATTGATAAAAACATTATTTTGTGCCCATATCCGTATTACAATCACAGCTGAATTTTAAATTGAATCAAAATTTATAAAAAATATACAATTTTTTCCAAATTTTTTAAAATTCACACAGCTGAATTGCTAAATTATGTCACAAAACTATATTTGAAATGCTCTACAAATAATTTTGTGAAGTAAAATTTACAGTAAAATTCAGCTTTGCTAAATTGTAATAAATGACCATTAAATATAGTTATAAATGATTCTACTTATAATTTTCGTTTAAAATGTTATATTCAGTTCAGCTGAATTACAATATACAATCATAAACTAAATTTATAAAATATGCAACATATAATTTTCGGTATAAATGTGATATTCAGCGTTGCCGAATAAAAATAGTGGGAATTAATTTCTGATGCATATTACATAAAAATAAAGTATTTTAACTTCAGCTAAATAAATTCAGCTCAGCTGAATAACAATATGCAACCATTAAATGTCATATTCATCTATGCTGAACTTAAAAAAGTTTATAAATGTAGCTGACATTTTCAAAAGTAATAATTAAATTTAAAAAAAAAATCGTTGGAATTAATTTTTGATGCCTATTTCATAAAAAATAAATTATTTTCTCTTAAAATTGTTTTATTCAGCTTTGCTGAATTGCAATAAATGGCCATACATTAAATTTATAAATGATTCTACATATAATTTTCATTAGAAATGTCCTATTCAGCTTTGCTGAATTCCTCAATACGTTTCTAATATGCTGAATTGATTAAAACTGCTAAAATGAATGCTAAAAAAACATTACAATTTTTTTTCTGTGACATATTTATTAAAATAAATTACTTCAGCTTAGTTTGAATTCAACAAATACAAATATTTATTTAAATAGATGAAAATGATAAAATTTTACTTAGCTGAATTGCCTTAAACTGCCATAAATATCAAAATATCATTTATTAAAGGCCTTACACATAATTCTGGGTATAAATGTAATATTCAGCTTTGCTGAATTGGAAAAAATTGTCCAAAACTTAGTTGAAATTCATTTCATAAAAACGACACTATTTCAGCTATGCAAAATTCGAAAATTAAGAAAAAATATTAAAATATCCAAAAGTACACAATTCAGCTAAGCTGAATTTAAATTAATAACCAAAAAAAAAAAAAAATTAAACACCAACAGGTCTAATTATGATATTCAGCTTTGCTGAATTTGCCACAAGTTATTCGAACCTTTTCTTTTATTGTGTCAAAAATACATATGAAAATATTCCAAAAAATATACAATTCAGCTTAGCTGAATTCGAATAAATAACCCATAAATACATTTATAAGAGCTGCTACATTAAATTTCCGGTCTAATTTTGATATTCAGGTTTGCTGAATTGGTCACATGTTATACAAACCTTTAATTTTTTGTGTCAAAAATATTTGTGGTAATTTGAAATATATTCTAATAATGCATAATAGCTGCACACAGGCTATTTTTAAGACACAAACAGGAAAAGAAACAAAACAAAAAATATTAAAATTCGTTTAAAAACAACAATAACAAAAAACCCGCTTAAAACCTAACATGTTTTCTTCTCTGGTTCTTCTTCTTATTTTCAAAACCAATTAAAAATCATTGTAGTAAATTGCCATAGTTAGTTTTTTATTTTTATTGTTGCAAACTGAATTGTTTGTTAAATTGTGGTTGTCGTTCGGCTATTTATTATTTGTTTTTGTTTTTCTTTTTCTTATATTGGGTTAAATTGAAATGGATATGGACTTTGGACCACATCATATGTTGTGTGCTTTATATTTTGTTGTTGTTTTTTCATTTCATTCTATCTCTTTTTTATTTTTTTATATATTCCCACTCTTGACACAACAATCATCTGACAACAGAGTTATCGCTATAGCTGATGTTTGTACTGTGCCTCTCTGGCTCTCGCTCTCTCTCCCTGTGAGATTATCCCTCATTTTTTATTATTTTTTTTATTTCTATTAAAATCCGCCATAAATCTAATCTAGTTATTTTATGAATGAACAACACATAAATAAGGCGATTCCAAACAATAGGCAAGTGTGATGTATGTTTGCCTCGCAAACGTTAGGTTGTGAGTTCGAAACCTGTTCGGGGTAAAAGACGATTTTTCTCTTTCCCAAAATAGGTAATAGAAATGCTTGTTGTTCTTCTTTCTCATCATACAGGTGTGCACTTGAATTTCCGAATATTTGAAATTTTCTTTGTAATTGTGATTGAAGAAAGTTTTACAATATTCAGGTGCTAGAGTAACGGTTTTCAATTTGCAACTATTGGCTACGCTAACAATTACTAGTCGGTATACTAACGGAAACTATAAAATGAATAATATTTTGAAAACAATTATTTCAAGATATTTTTTCTAATTAAGATTTTTTTTAAATTCAGCTCAGCTGAATTGCAAAATATTTACAAATAAAAATGTTTTTAATTGAATTTGAAAATCTTTTTCACAATTCAGCAAAGCTGAATATAAAGGAAATTGAATAATTTTCCATAATATTCAATGCAATTCAGCTTAGCTGAATTACAAAAGTCTCATTGGGCCCGCTTTTTATTTGATGTAAAAATTTAAATATATAAATATTTTATTTTTTAATATATACAATTATCATAAATTCTGTAAATTTATCTTTGACTGTAAAGAAATTTATTAATATCCCTCAAAACTATGCAATTGAGCTTAGCTTAATTACCTAAAAATGCAATGTGGAGCACATTTAGGTGGTGTATAAGTTATTTGGTATCATAAATAATATATTCAGCTTTGCTGAATTTGAAAAAATGTATTCGGACATTAGTTGAAGATTTTAAAACTGCTAAAATAATTATTAAAACAATAATGGGATTTTTTTCTTGAGGTAATATAGATAGATTCAGCTTAGAATGCATCAAGAAGTGACCAAATATTAAAATATTTTATAATTTGGCAATTCAGCTTAGTTGATTTACAAAGATCACATTCAACCTGTTTTTAATTTGGCTTTAAAAACTATTTGAAGATATAAATATTTTATTCAGCTTTGCTAAATTCTGTTTTTATTGTCAATTTCATAAAATTTGTGAATTCCGGTTTGAACTGTAGGGATATTTTGTTAATATCGTTCATAACTATTCAATTCAGCTTGGTTGAATTACCGAAAAGTGCAATTTGAAGTCATTTTAGGTAGTCTATAGGTTTTTTTGGTGAGAAGAATCTTATATTCAGCTTTGCTGAATTTGAAAAAAAAATTAATTTCTTACATTAGCTGAAGTCTTAAAAATTCAAAAAAAAAAATTGATTTTTTTCTTGGATTCATATAGATAGATTCAGTTAAAAATAAGCAAAAAAGTGAAAAAATATTAAAATATTTCAAAATTATTCAATTCAGCTTAGCTGAATTACCAAAATCTCATTGAATCCGCTTTTTATTGGGCGTAAAGAATATTTGAAGATATAAATATGCTGAATTTTGTTTCTGATATTAGAAATTTCATACCAGTTTCCAAGAATTCCTCAACATTTGCTGAATTGTGTTAAAAATTTATTTTTCGCTTGAATTTAATTTCGAAAATGTGTTTTTTTTCCTTCTTAATCACATGTTTGCCATACCCCCCAATCGTGTGCCTGCTAATGAATGACTAGTTAAAAATATTTAATCTCAAATATTTCAAACGCCTGACATTTCAAATGGATAAGATTTAAAATTCTGTTAAAAAGAAAGGGGTTATAGAAAAAAAAAATATAAAAAATCAATTTATTGAAATTATAAATTTGAATTCTGCTGGCATTTTTTATTATTTATTTTAATTAAAAAAATTGATTTGGAAAAAAAATATGAATGTTTAATTATTAATAAAACTGGGTATACGGATTACGTCAACTGGTTTGTCTGGCTGGGAATATTGTTTTAATATATTTCAATTAAAATGGTTCGATGAGCTAATTGACCATTGTTGTGTTCTAATTTTTCTTTTTTCAAAATCAAAAAATGGGGTTCAGTTCTACTTGTTGAGATTTGCCATAACCAATTTATAACAACCTTCACACGTTGGTTATATTTTTTCTAAGTATTTGTTTGGAGCTTCCGACCAGCTATAACAAACAAATAACTTGTTTACATTTTGTTGTACTTATTTTAATGTTTTTTGTTGTGATTGTCTACCAGACAACAATGAAATTCTGTTCTGTTTAAGTGCTGCACTTTGTTTCATCAAAAACATTAGCGGGAATACAATCGCAAACAACCCTAAACTTGAGCAAAAAAAAAAAAAAAAAACTCATCGGAAATAACAATTCAGCTAATTAAAAGGAAGTTAGAACTTGTACAAAACAATAACATTTTTTTAAAACAATTTTTTTTTCGAATTATTGCACAAATGTTACCGATGTTATCAAAATATGAGATAACCACTATTGCAGTGGCGTAATAAATTGCCGATAGATTTTTTTACTACGTTTTACTATTTGCTGTATTTTTTTTGCACACACGTGCCACCTACATACTTCATTTATAATTATTAATGTATTTTTAATGTTCCTTTTATTCCTCTTTCGTTTTTTAATTACAGTTATGATATGGTCCATTTCGGCCATGCCAACTCTTTGCGACAAGCCAAAGCCCTTGGTGATAAAGTCATTGTTGGCATACACACCGATGAGGAGATTGCCAAACACAAAGGACCTCCAGTCTTTACCGAAGAGGAACGTGTCAAAATGGTCAAAGGCATCAAATGGGTGGATGAGGTCGTTTTGGGTGCACCCTATGTAACAACATTGGAGGTGCTTGATGAGCATAATTGTGATTTTTGTGTACATGGAGGTAAGGATATTTTTGAATATAAATTGAGAGAAACTGAAGTACTAATTTGATATCCTTTTTATTTTCCAGATGATATTACAATGACCGCTGAGGGTGTTGACACATATCATTTGGTAAAGAAGGCCAATAGATATAAGTAAGTATCCAAAAAACATACATTCAAAATAAAACTTTTAAGCTATATAAAGACCTAGGATCTCTATATAGCCCAATTGGTCTTTTTAAAGACCTACGGTTTCTACACTGGTGTTTATAAAGACCTAGGGTCTCTATACCGACCAATTGGTCTTTATAGAGACCTAAGGTCTCAATACCGACCAATTGGTCTTTATAAAGACCTTTGGTCTCTATACTGACCAATTGGTCTATATAAAGACCTTTGGTCTCTATACCGACCAATTGGTCTATATAAAGACCTTTGGTATATGTAAAGACCTTTGGCCTCTATACTGACCAATTTGTCTATATAAGGACCTACGGTCTCTATACTGACTAATTTGTCTATATATGGACCTACGGTCTCTATACCGAACAATTGGTTCTAAAAAGACCTACGGTCTCTATACCGACCAATTGATATTTATAAAGACATACGGTCTCTATACAGACCATTGGTATCTATACAGCCCAATTGGCCTATATGAAGACGTATTGCCATATATAAACCAATGGGTCTTTTTAAAAATCTGTGCTCTTCCAATTTTAAATTTAAAGTTAGTATTTAAAGCACTTTATATTTTCCATTAAAATTTCAATAATGCGTCCTTCGACTAATATTTATCGTTTTTTCAGGGAAGTTAAACGTACAGCTGGTGTTTCGACAACAGATTTAGTTGGCCGCATGTTATTATTAACTAAAAATCATTTCCATCAGGGTTCCGCCGAATATGCCATAGAAAAAGAAGGTATGTTTGTTTTTGTCTAACTATGTAGTTTGTGTGTGTGTGCGTTTTTAAGTAGAATATATTTGTTAGTAGTGAGTTGTAAGTATATATACATAATGCTTATATAGTTAATAGACTTTATTTAAAAACAAATTTTATTTTAAATAATATTTTTAAATACATTTTTACCCTACACTACCCAGTGGTAAAGAATGCAAAAGAAAAAGTTTACATTTATGGATCTGTTGTTAATCATTTCCAATAAAACTTAAACTTAAAAAACTTAAGCCTTAGGACTTCGAAATCCCTTTAAAACATTTCCTAAAAAAAGTATTGTCTATGATTTTATAGGCGTTTAAAAACAATTTTTTAAACCAAAAAACTACGCTTCTTAACTAGTTTTTATCGATGGCTATAATAAACACAGATTTCTTAAATAATTTTTTCGAGGGCGTATATTTTAAAAAATGTTTCATAATTGTATATTTATTTTATATTTCAAAAAAAAAAAAAAAAAAAATTATTAAAAAATTTATTTCCTTTAAGCGCTCATGATAGTACTTCAAAACAATTCTTTTAAGAATCCGCGTTTATGATAGCAGTTCAAACAAAATATTATAAAAAGCTATTGCTTATCAATAGGCCTCGAAAAAATCCACGCTTATCGATGGGTCTAGAAAAAAATATTAAAAAATCTACGCTTATGATAGCCTCCTAAATATGTTTTAAAATGTGTTTTTCAAAATTCCACATTTATATCACTTCCAAAATTCTATACTTATGTCTCTTAAGTCATTTAAAATATGTACGTACGAGTACTTCACCGAAAGTGGTGTAGGGTATCATATTTGATTACTTTTTTACTCTTTATTTTTATTATTCTTTTTTAGTACTTTAATTGTAAATATTTTTTTCATTTTTCTCGATTTATTTTATTTTACTATGAAATTGAATTTTTGACCACTTATGGTTGCCTTGTTATGAGATTTTTTTTTTAATTTCTTGCTCTTAATTATTTTCTTTAAATTAATTCAAATTTGTTTTAACTAAATTTTCTAATAATTCCAATTATACAATTTTATTGCATGCTGCCGTCCGTCTATATAAAAAACAAACTAAAATAAAATCTGTCTATTTCCCCAACGATAAACCACAAAAGTTTTAAGTATTTGTTTACGTTTATATTATGGATTAGGTTATTTTAAATTATATATATATATATATATATATAATTTCCTATTAATTTGTTTAGTATTATTTATTGTTATTGTAATATAAAGCTAGTGTTATGTTCTTCTTATATTAATTTCTTCGTTTAAAATAGTTTGTTATTGTTTATACTACATCTTTTCTCTATTTTTGCCATGACAAAAAAAAAAAAATAACAATTAACTATTTATGTTTTTCTTCTTTTCTTTTTTATTCTATGTCTCTTAATCCCCACTTAACCCACCACCCTACCACCACCAAACCAACTTCCTAATACCACTTAACTATTTCTCTTCCTTAATCTCTAAACTAAAATTCCTAAAATTTAACCTCAAAACTCTCTTTGCTTTATCCTAATGTCAACAAAACAAAATCCTAAAATGTGTGTATATATTTATCTAAAAAAATAATGCCATATTATGTCACCTAATATGTCTTTAAAACAAAACTTGCACAATTGTATTTTATATATTGTAACCAAAAAAATATCAATGCCTAAAATTATGCTTTAAAAATACAAATCATTTTCACTCTCTTTTGATCTCTGGTGTCTTGGTTGTATTTTATAAATGTCTCTTGATTTAACTTCTTTGTATTTTCTTTTACAATTATTTTTTTATTTACTTAAAATCATTATAATTTAATTGAAAAACAAAATCAATCACCAAAAAAAAATCCTATAGACAGAGTTTTATTTGACAATGTCGTAAATAAAACAATACCAAAATGTAAATTACTATTATCAGGTTCATCGAATATGGGTCAAGATTCATCCGCTAAATCACCATGGACCGGTTGCAGCCAGTTCCTGCCTACCACACAAAAGATAATCCAATTCAGTGATGGCAAAGCTCCCAAGCCAGGTGATAAAATTGTAAGTATTCTATCAAAATAATTGAAAAGAAAATTGTTAATTAATTTCGTTTTGTTTACAAGGTCTATGTTGCCGGTGCCTTCGATTTGTTCCACGTTGGCCATTTGGACTTTTTGGAAAAGGCCAAGGAATTGGGTGATTATTTGATTGTTGGCCTGCACACAGATCCGGTTGTGAATTCCTACAAGGGTAGCAATTATCCCATTATGAATCTACATGAACGTGTTTTGAGCGTTCTAGCCTGCAAAGTAAGAGAGCAACTACAAATTCGAAATATATATTTTTTAAATCCTCGGAAAAAATATTTTGAAAACCCACGTAAAATATAGCCCTCGAAAAAATTATTTTCAAAATCCACGTTTAAGATATCCCTCAAAAAATTATTTTCAAATTCCACGATTAAGATATCCCTCGAAAAAATTATTTTCCAAATCCAGGCTTATTATTACCCTTGAAATTTTTTTTTTCAAAATCCAGGCCTTGAAAAAAATTATTTTCTAAATCCAGGCTTATTATAGCCTTCGAAAAAAATTATGTCAAAAATCCAAGCTAATGATAGCCCTCGAAAAATTTTTGTTAAAAATCCACGTTTATGATTACCCCCGAAAAAAAATTATTTCAAAAATACCAATTTTGATGGCCCCAAAAACAAATTATTTTGAAATCCACGCTTATGATAGCCTGGAAAAAAATTATTTTAAAAATCCACGTTAAGTTGGTTGATCCACGTTTTATGTTGGCCCTTCAAAATATTTTTTTTAATCCACGTTTATGTTGGCTCTTCAAAATAATTATTTTAAAAATCCACGCTTACGATAACACAGGAAATTTTTTTTTTAAATCTGCGCTTATGATAGCACTATTTTTTTTTTAAATCCACGCTTATAATAGTCCTAAAAGAATTTATGTAAAAAATTCACGCTTTTGATAGTCATAGAAAAACATATTTTAAAAATCCAGGTGTAATATAGCCCTCGTTATTTTAAAAATCAAAAACAATAAAAATCTATTTTACTAATCTATTAATTTGTATTTCTTTCTCCTCCTTTCAGTATGTCAATGAAGTTGTTATTGGCGCTCCCTACTGTGTCACCGAAGATCTCTTGGATCATTTCAAAGTTGATGTGGTGTGTCACGGCCAGACTCCCATTGCTCTGGAGGATGGTAAAATCGATCCCTATGCCATACCAAAGACACGAGGCATTTTCTGCCTAATCGACTCGAAGAACACAATGACCACGGAGCGTATTGTGGAACGTATCATTTCACATCGTTTGGAATACGAGAGACGCAACAAGGCCAAAGAGAAGAAGGAAGTTGAGGCCTTTGAGGCGCTGCAACGTTCCAAGCTGACACAAAAGGCTGGCTAATAATCTAGATGATGATGACCCAGCTCAGCTTATGAAATTGAGGACAATGAAGCCAAACACAAAATCTCTTACAAATTACAACTAGTAATAATTATTGCTCTTATTCTTACAACTATTACTACTACTACACTTCCCAGAAAGAAACTACAACAAACAAATTCTTTAAAATCGAAATGCTACACCTGCCACCTGCGCCTGAATGAAAAAGAAACCATGTCTAGTTTTATGCTAGAGAAACAACAGGAGTCTTTTTCGATACTCCATATTTCAAAAACCCACATTTTGGAGAAGAGAATTTCATGGAATTTTTTTTAAATTATTTTTTAAGTTTTATTTTTATTATTTGTTTAATTATATAGATTTTTTATTTAGATTTGGGTTTATTACTTTATTTACTTGTTACTTCATATTTTTTGTTTAATTTTGCAATAGTAGTTATTATTTTTTAGAATGCAACAAAAAGAAAAAATCGATGCGATATATTTTTATTTTTTAAATATCGCATGCTATATAATTATTATTGGAATATTGCATGCAATATATTTTTTATTTATTTTTTTTCTAAATTTATTTTTTTTTTTCAAAATTTCTTTATTTTGTTAAATACTCTTTATTTAAAAAGAGTTTATTGTGAAACAATACTGTCGAAACAAACAGAAATTAGACACATTTTTGTGTCTCCATATATGATATATACACACACTGTAATAAAAACAAAATATATATTTTTAGTTAGAAATTTTAGATTTATATAAGCGTCTCTCCTGTCTGTATAAGATTATATCGTGTTCTAACTAAATTATATATAGCATGTGATGTTTGTTATGTATTTGGTTCCGAAGAGAAAACAAATTTCGAAATCATTAAAAATTAAATTCTATGTATCAAAAATCGTAAATATTTATAGAGGAGGAATAATTTAAATAATCTCCAGTTTAGCTTTTTTCTCTCTTTCTATTCCTCTATACAAAAAATACAGTGGAAAAGGAAATCTCTAATATTGGAATAAAAAATAATCATCTATGTATTGTCCAATGTTGAGTTAACTAGCCACTATATATTTTTTGTCTCTTTCTCTATGCCTTTGCCTGCTTTAAAATAAATTGAAAAAAATTATGCAAAATGTTTGTCCAACAATTATTCGTTCTACTACTTAAAAAATAGCTACAACCAATTATTAATCGGTAAATGATAACCAATATATAATTTTAATTGATTATTAATTTAATATATATGAAAAAATAAACTATTATTTTATTATTATTTTTATTTTTTAATGTTACAACATATCTTGCTTTGTTATTAGACATAAATAAAACAAGAAGAAGAAAAGGAAATATATTTGTAATTATTTTACATTAGAGTGATTATATTTTATAATTTAATTTATTATATATATATGTGTTAATAAATAAAAAAAAATTGTCATATATATTTAATTGTCTTGTGTGCCACCTCTTGGGCTTCAGTAATAAGTTTATGGGCAGTAGAGCTCCGATGGAAAAATGAATAATGTGTGTCGTAAGGTGTTTGCTGGCAGCAGGGACACCTATTTAGAATTCCTGGGCAATGCGCTCTCGGTACGAATTGATAACATTGTTATACCCGTATCTTAGTTGTGACAAAATCGAACGGGTTTGCCTACGAATAAGCGTCTCACTGTCTGAAATTACATGAGGATGTTGGAGTAGGACTTTGTGGCTTATGTAACCATTTATGGCCTTCGTGTCGAATGTGGATCAGCCATAACTGTGTGATGGTTGGAACGACAATGCGCTCTCGATACGAATTGATAACATTGTTATACCCGTATCTTAGTTGTGACATAATCGAACGGGTTTACCTACGAATAAGCCTCTCACTGTCTGAAATTACAAGAGGATTTTGGAGTAGGACTTTGTGGCTTATGTAGCCATTTATGGCCTTCGTGTCGAATGTGGATCAGCCATAACTGTGTGATGGTTGGAACGACACGGCAGATAGCATGGAAGCAGGAACTGTTTAGTCAACAACACATTATGTCGCTGGTCTCCTCATGTATGTGATCGACGCTCGTCATCTGGATACACACAGTTGCAATTCGGAGTGCATTATTTTGAGTAGTTTGCATAGATCTTCATTGTGTGTTGCTAAGGAAAGAAGTCCAGACCGGGACAGCATAATTAAAGATGGAACGATCGATTCCTAGCTTTCATAATATGGTTGACGTAGTTGGAGTACTAAGATAAATAAAGGAGGTAATCACCACAGCGATTCTTGGATTATGGATGCAGGGTATACGCTTTCCTTCGATGGGTATTCAGGTTATAAATTGACATCTCGCGTCCAAGAAGTGAAAGGTGACTTTGCAGTGGATAATATTAGATTAGACGAACGAAAAAACGGCGTACGACACCACTGAAACATTTGGGGGGAGTTACGCAAGATACATATTCAACAAAATGCGGTACTCCTATTTTGATTTTGCGATATTTGGATTTTTGGCCAAGGAATTCAACGAAGGCTTGATATTACTTGGAAGGGTGGAATTTGTGATGTCGGATATCAGCTCGAAATGATCGACCGTATCGAACGCCTTGGACAGATCTTAGGCTGCCACAATGGTCGTGTCTCATTGAGGCCATTCGCAATCATGAAATGTTTATTTCCCTGAATCCATGTTGGTGGGTAGCAAGAACGAAATGCTGTTTCGGGGACGGAAGCAATACGGACTCTAAAACATTGACTACTGGTTAAACAAGGGAAAACGGGCGGTAGGATTCCCCATTTATCTGGTTTTAGAATTGAAATAATCGGGGAAACAAATATCATCAGTGTCATCGATAATTCGAGATCTACCAAGTGTCTCATCGTTAATTCGGGAATTTTGGTTAGATAACCCAGCCCTATTGCAACAAACTTCTGTAACATTAACATGGAAATGCCGTCTGGACCAAGCGCTTTGAATGGCTGGGAGATGATTGCCTCTACCTCGCTAAATGTGAATAATAGGTCTTGTACTCACGCTAGTAGCAGTACTACCGGATGGAAAGCTAGACTGAGTGCTAGTTGAAGTACTGGAAGGGCTCAATTGGATTCTAGCGGATATTGCTGGATTATTAATGTAGCAATCGGAATTCCAATTGCTGTATGAACGCAGGATGGTATATCTTCTCATATGACACCGGTTACTACAGCCAATGCACCTTAAAGATGTTACGTTTTTCCGTATAATTTCCCCGCAAACCGAACAGTTCCACTGGGAGTTCTGGGTAGATTGCTGAGAAGGAATGGTTTCGAAACGATGGGAGGGATGGTTTCGAAACGATGGGAGATCATCACGAATTTGATCATTTCTCATCGTCGGGGAAGACGATGAGAAGGGGTATCATATGGTAGGTGGCGCCCGACAAGGTACAATGTATGTAAATTTAGAAATTTTAAATAAAATATCTAGGTCTAAATATAGGCTGTAAAGTTGTATTACCACTTTGCCATTTTTTACAAATTATTCAACCACGCAAAAAAAAAACTTTAAAATCATACAATACTCAGAATTATATAACGTGTTAACGACATGTTTTTAATTAACCCCATTGGCTGCCAATAAATAAAAGAGAAACAGACACACAAAAACTGTCGCAAAATTATTATTATGTTAACTATATTAAAAAAATTGTTGTCACCAAAATATGCGGAAGTTTTTTTGTTTGCAAAACAAAATTATATAGTAGATACTTCTTATATGAAATGGAAAATGAAAAACAAATAAAAACCACAAAGTGAATCCATTAAACTTCCGTTTACCAAACATAAAAAGCCGACTCCACCATATAGTAAACGAACCATTGACCCATCCCCAAAACGAATCAATTTCAAACAGACCATCTGTGACAAAAAATCTTCTTCTAATGATTGGTCATTAATTGAGGAAAATCAAATGTTTTTTAAGAATAATTATTTATTTTGGTCTATGTCCATAATAATTGGATTCAAAATTACATAGGCAAATTAATTTGATAACATGAAAAATTGTTTGAGGTCTCTAACCTCAATTATCAAAGCATAGCATAATTTCCAAAAATAAATATATAAAATCATTTAACAGTTATTTTTGAAAAATATAGAGGAAGAAAAAAAAAACAAATTTTGTTCAAATGGCCAGAAAATTGTTATTGCATTATTAGATGGTTAAACGGTGGTGCATTTATTTTATTACAAAATTGATTTCCCATAGTATTGAGAATCCTATACCCCTCTCCCCATCTGCCCAATGAAAGTAAAATTTGTGTGTGTGTTTCGAGTGAAATTAACCGCCTGACTTACTATCTAACTAATATTCTACCATTAAAGAACGGTAAATTGCGTTTTGACGTCTATAGTAGTAATAATAATACCATTTTGATTTCGAAATAATAAACCGTACAATGATGACATAAAAACATTTTCAGATAAGACACTGCAGCAGCATGCTCACAACCATCAGCAGTTTGATGAATGGTATGTTCTGGGGTTTTCTATGTACGATCTGACATTTTGCAGTTATTCAAAGGAAGAGGAAAGTATTCATATTTAAAAACGTCGTTTATATCCTCCATCATGTGGTGTACATTCAATATTTCGCAAAAAGGTCGGGAATTTCTTATGCAAATTATCTGGATGTTTATTTGAAAATTAAATCTCTAAATAGGTTGGAAAACTGGGTTATGGGAGCCAATCAAAAGGGCTATAATTCTTATTATTCAGGATTATTCCAAAAACACACAATGCTAAATGACAATTCACTTCATTAGGGAAAATGCGTCCACAATCTTCAAAATACCGAAAATCGGGCCGAACTAAAAAGTGCTAAAAAGTAGATCAATTCCATTGAGAGACGTGACCAAAGTCCCAAAAATACCTAAATCTGGGATGTACTCAATGGAACTAACTAACAAATATTGGAAGCAATTGTCTGAGGATAAAAAACAATAGCAATTTTGAGTAAAGTGAATTATTAGAGATTTTCTGTTTCCGATTAATTGATTCGGAAAAGCGTGT